GAGAATTTTAGCAAATTTGAGCACAGTTGAGACATTAAACTACCCTCTAAAATCTTGAGGAGATGCATATGGGGTCTTTTTCCTCAAGAGGAACATCTGAGAAGCATGAAACTCAAGCAGAAGTCTCCATTTAATCTCATGACAGGCTACAAGCAGCAATATAGATATTAAAGAGATCTCGATCACAGTTTTTCTTTCGTACAAGGATGTTCTATTCCAGATATTCTCTAAATCGAAGCGCTGAGAGATCATCTGTCCCCGCCTCTGACAAGGCCATTGCTCCAGACTCACAAAGGAATACTCCAACTTCACTGAGTGAAAGGCAACACAAAGCAAACAAACCCCCCACCCCTCCCCAGCAGGCCTCCGCTGCTCTCCCCTCCTTCTCGGGCTCCTGCTATTCAAGGGAAATGTGTATTTCCCACACTGGAGTTGTCCAGCAGGGTCTGCCCGGCAGGGGTTTTGCCTCGGGGTGAACAGGGAGATGGACTAGAGGTTACATCAACACACACACACCGCTGCGGCATGTCACATCCTCACCGCCGGTTGCCTTGGTGCTGTTAGCCTGCAGCTCTGGGCCAGGAGAGCAAAAAGCAAAACCGAGCCGTTCTCCTTCTGTACCTCATAAACATCAGGGGGTTTTTTTCTCGCCAAGTCATTTATTACACATGGGTTTTTAAAAGCCTCCTTATCCCATTTACTTGGAATTATGATTATTATAATGAATTATGATCATTTCACGGTGCTGGTAACCTGCAATTATGGTGACGTTGATAAAGGACAAAGATGCTAATGGCGAACATCTGCGTTTAATAAACACTGACCAGACGAACGGCACCCTTTAATCACTCACTGTCTGTTTTATATGCTACTGATGCTTTTGACAGACAAAACGCTCCCGTCCAGACAGACAAATTCAACTCTAATTAAGATGGAAAGAAAACAAAGAAACACTGAATGAAAAAGAAGGAACATCTTTCCATTTGTTAACATTACCTTACTACATTAGTTAACATGAACCAATTAAGTTAATCTTTGCAACATTTATTAACACATTATTAAAATCAAAATCTGTTAGTATTAATTAATGGACCTGAGCTACCATGAACTAACAATGAACAGTATTTTAATTAACAAAGATTCATAAATACTGCAACAAACGTAATGCATTAACTAACGCTAACTAATTACGCAAATAATGAATGAAGACAGAATGAAAGTATGACAGAAAGAGGAATAAGGAAAAGACTGCAAACGAATTAAAAAGAATGGAAGAATGAAAGAGAGCAACAGCAAACGAACAAATTAAGAAAGAATGAACAAACAGAACCAACAAATAAAAATGAGAGACAAGAATGACTGTGCAACAATAAAAAGAAATAACATTAAAATAAAGAATAAAACAAACAAACAAGAAAACCGAAGAATAAAAATGACAGGAGAGAATGAAAGACCAACTGAAAGTCAAAGTGAAAGAAAGAGCAAAAACAGAAGAAAGGAAAGAAAGAGCAAAAGAAAGAGAGACAGAAAGTGAGAAAGAGCAAAAGAAAGAGAAAGAAAGAGCAAAAAACAGAAGAAAAGAAAGAAAGAGCAAAAGAAAGAGAGACAGAAAGTGAGAAAGAGCAAAAGAAAGAGAAAGAAAGAGCAAAAAACAGAAGAAAAGAAAGAAAGAGCAAAAGAAAGAGAGACAGAAAGTGAGAAAGAGCAAAAGAAAGAGAAAGAAAGAGCAAAAGAAAGTGAAAGAAAGAGCAAAAGAAAGTGAAAGAAAGCAAAAAAAGCATGAAAGCAAAAAGCAAAGAAAGCAAGCAAGAAAGAATGAACAGTTGCAGAAAAAGACAAAAAGCAAAAGAAATAGCAAACTAAGAAAGAAAAAAGAACCAAAAAGAAGAAAAAAGAAAGAATCCAATGAAGAAAAACAAAAATACATTAAAAGTAAATAAATGTGACAGAGCACAAAACAGGCAATGAAAAAAAGGAGGGCAAAAAAAAAAAGATAGCCAAAGAAACGACTTTGAAACTCCTGTAATTTTCTCTCTCCATTACGACAGATTTCAGTGCATTACCACAAACTCAACAGCTCTGCCATCACATCTGGGGCACAAGACTCAAAAAGCAGAACAACTTTCAAAAACGACCCCAAACCTGCAACATCATCTCAAACACACACACACACACACACACACACCTGACCTGACTGTCCCGCGGTGATGAACAGGTGCAGGTCATTAGACCCGACGCTGCCACCTTCCCCTGTAAGATGTGCGTAAATCCTTGTTGTGGAAAATGAAAGAGTGAAAGTAGTTCTAATTACAAAATGTAAATAAGACAGACCCCCCAAGATGCAAAACAACCCCCAACCCCTTCCCCCCCTCCCCTTCTCTGTCTCTTTCTCTCGGCCGTCCTGTCAGCGCGACAGGAAAAGGAAACCTTTTGAGCATCACCAAATGTAAATGCACACATACCAGACGTACACGAGTGACCGCCGACATCACTGCATCATGCTTGCGTAACAATCCATTAGCCGTGACCTCCAAACGAAACAAAACGTAACATCTACTCCTCCCACCCTCATGCAAAAGCTTGCTAAATACCCAGAGGTTCAGTGAACGCTTTCAGAGTCACAGGTGAACGTCAAATACTTAACTTTACAGTGCTAAATACCTTTAAATGACCTCCATGAGACTGGTTTCCAGCTCTCGGCCATATGGAACTGAGCAACATGTGGTCAGCATGGATCGAGCCCCGAGAGTTGCCATTTGTTGACGTTTGTTTGTACGGAGAGCATGTCGGTGAGTGATGGGGAATGGAGGTGAATGAGGGCGCAGCTGGGATCTAGAGCTCAGCCCCTCTGGACTCGAGATGTCTTCATTCTGAAGGTGTTCTAGAGCCTCCGAAGACCCTAAACACACTTTGTTTCAGAGCTGTTCTTCAGCCTCTTCCACCCAATCGATGCTGGGCTTGGTTCTACACTCTCAAAAATAAAGGGAGTTTGCACAGCGATGCCATAGAAGAACCATTTTTTGTGAATAATTTTTTAATAATCAACAGACATTTTTCCATTAAATTAACCTGTAGTGCAATGGAAAGATTCCATCACTTTAAAAAATAAAAGTTCCAAAAGGATTTGTACAGCAATGCCATAGAATGCTCCTAAAAATAAAGGTTCTTTATTGGCGTTGATGGTTCCATGAAGAACCATTGCACAACAGGTTCTTTATAGTTCTTTTAAGAACTGTTCATTGAAAGGTTCTTTGGGGAACCAAAAATGGTTCTTCTATGGCATCACTTCGAAAGGCCCCTTTTGGAACCTTTATGAAGAACCCTTTTTGGTTCCACAAAGAACCTTTCAATGAACAGTTCTTAAAAGAACCATCTTAGAAATAAAGTGTCTTCACTGGCATCTCTGGTTCCATGAAGAACCTATAACATCCATTGAATCTTACCATTGCACAAAAGGTTCTTTATAGTGGAAAAAGGTTCTTTAGATAATCAAAATGTTCTTCTTGTTAAGGAAAAAAAATGGTTATTTTAAGAAATGTTCACTGACAGGTTCTTTGAGGAACCAACAATGGTTCTTGTATGGCATCACCATTTTGGAACATTTATTTTTAAATATTGTGAAGAACATTTTAATAATCTTCTTTTCCGATAGAAAGATTCCATGGATGTTAAAGATTCTACATGGATCTGATGTCATCAAAAAACATTTATTTTTAAGGATGTATTCAGTTCTGACAGCCAACTGTTGATGTAACTGACTACATTACTTTATTAACCTGCCCAAAAACAAGCATATCACATTGCTGTCTGTTCTTTGAAAACACATTTTAACACACAGTAATGTAATTCCTATGTAAGTTATAATTAATCAAATCTATATCAAACAATATATATATATATATTTAGATACTGGAATTTGAGTTGTAGGAGTTTTGGAACAAATTTGGACATCTTAAGTAATCTGATTCAGCATCTTTATGCCTTCATGAAATGCTTTCAATGCAACAGTCAGAAATTATGTAATGTATAACTCCAGAGATGCATCAGCTGGATACTAGATCACACCAGTGGTGCACGACCCTGCGAACTCTAAACCTCTTTATTCTACAGGTGCTTGAGAGCGATCTGCAGACGATTGAGACAAACCCCTCAAGTTAAGAAAACCTTTAGTGGTCATTTGTTTATACTTATAACTAAGAGTTATCTTAGCTTTAGAAGTTTGTTGCAAGCAGGCCCTGCCCTCTGGACTCTAGAATGATCTATTCTACACTCTTAAAAATAAAGGTTCTTTACTGGCATCTGTGATTCCATGAAGAACCTTTAACATCCATGGAACCTTTACATTGCATAAAAGGTTCTTCACAGTGGAAATAGGTTCTTTGGAATATTAAAATGTTCTTAATACTAAGAAAAATAGGTTTTATGAGAACTGTTCATTAAAAGGTTCTTTGGGGAACAAAAAGTGGTTCTAATACGGCATTTCAGTGAAATGGGACCCTAAATGAAACTGAACTCTAAATCATTTCATTTTAGAGCCATTCTAGAGACTTTTCCAGTGGTTGACACACCGCCTAATTGCTAAATATCTGCATTTTCCCCCCCAAACATTTGACACCATGCATGTGCAATGAGCAAAAACGTATTGCCTCTAATGTAACAGACAGACTGTGTAACATTAACTGGACTGGTTTCTTGAACATCTAGCAAAAGTAGTAAAAGTGCGGCATATTTTACAGTTTGGTGCATCTTTATTGCTGTCAATGAGAAAATAAATCTATCACGAAATTCTCCACACTTTATAATAAACACACCTGCACAAACAGTTCAAAGATGCTAAAAATACCTGTTTAAGTCAACTTCAGCACAGTTTGGGGAAAACTGCGTCTGCGTCCCTTAAGTTGTTCTTACTGAGCACGAATCATCAAACAGTTACTTTTTTTCCCCAAGTCATTCCTCAGCCAAACGGTACATATCATGGTGAGGGTGAAAGAGGAACTTACCTTGCGGGTTTCTGCTGGCAGAAGCGCCGGCTGGCTGCTGGACAAAGGCGATCAGAGCGACGCTGAATAATCCAACGCCAGCGCGCATCAGAACATACATGAACATCATATTAAACACCTTGAACCTTCACAGAGAGGGACAAATAAAATAAAAGCGGACAACTGCGAGACAAAGAGTCCAAACGTGGATGAAGCTTTATTCCCGGCGCTGGAAACGGAGCGTCTGTTGAACGAGAGAGAGAGCGCGTGTGTTTTATTTCTTGGTTTAGCGGAGATTGCGTGCGCGGAGATCAGGAGGAGAAACACGGTCGAGATGAGCGCTCTTGGTCTTCAGTCCTGCTGGAGACACAGAGAGAGAGCGAGAGAGAGAGAGAGAGAGAGAGGAACGGTGGAGAAAGGGGGAGGAGAGACGTGAGTCAATTGTTAGTCAATGGAACTTCATTGGTAAATTTAAAATAAATGAAAAGTTCTAGAAATAAGAAACGCAAACACATTAATTGCGCGGTTAATGCTTTTGCTAATTATGTAAATGTAAGAACACAAGAAACTGCAAAACTAACTTCTTATACTAAAAACGGCAAACATGCTTTTGGCTGCATAAGTAGCTAAATGTGGACAGAAACGCATATGTTTATTTCTAAAGGGCTGTTATGCATCCGGTGATTATCATGCTGTGAGTGTGTTAAGGAACAGTTACTAAAACACTGTTTTCTCCAGCATCATACCGTCAGTTATTTTAAATATTACTTAGTTATCTATTGTAAGTTTCAAATGTTATAGTAGCTACTGTTGCTTTCAAACTTGAAAAGCTCCAATTTGGCTGCAGACAAAAGCAAATCTCTTTACTACCTCATTTAGATGTATTGTTTTAAGAGGCGAGCTCAATCGATTTGTTCAGTTTTAATGGTTAAACATACTATAGGTTCAATAACAAATTGGGAAGAAATGTAATTTTAATGGAATAGTTCACCCAAAAATGTAAAGTTGCTGACAGTTTACTCACCCTCAAGCCATCCAAGATGTAGATGAGTTTGTTTCTTCATCAGATTTGGAGAAATGTAACATTGCATCAGTGTCTCAGCAGTGGATCCTCTGCAATGAATGGGTGCCGTCAGAATGAGAGTCTAAACAGCTGATAAAAACATCACAGTAATCCACACCACCCCAGTCCATCAGTTAACATCCTGTGAAGCAAGTAACATGAAAATATGAGTCCATAATCTATAATAATGCTTCCACCAGTGATAACGTCCATCTTCTAACGTCCTCTCACATCAATGTTTAGAGCTGTTTTGGTTTTCAAATCATGTTTAATCAGTGCATATATTTATCTCCTGATTCAGACGAGATGACTTTCAGTGGCGAAAGCAATATTATGGATTATGGACTCATATTGTAGTCAGAAGTAATGGTTTGAAAATAAATGTCTTGATGGATTTGTTTCTTATAAACACACTGATGGACTGGAGTGGTGTGGATTATTGTGATGTTTTTATCAGCTGTTTGGACTCTCATTCTAACGGCACCCATTCACTGCAGAGCATCCATTGCTGAGACACTGATGCAATGCTACATTTCTCCAAATCTGATGAAGAAACAAACTCGTCTACTTCTTGGATGGCCTGAGGGTGAGTAAACTATTCCTTTAAATCACTGCACAAAACAGCAGTTTCCTATAAGAATGGATGCTTCACCAAGTGCACAGACGAGTCTCTCTCTTTCTGACCTTGCAGGAATTCACAATCAGCAGCGGGACGGACCGCGGGTGAGTGGGGGGTTGCCATGGAAACGGCTTCCGTCGGGCAACAGAGGTCAGCCACGTGCAATTGACGGATTCCCTCTCATCTCGCCACAGACTCCTGAAAGTATGTGCAGCCGAGACACGTTGGGCAACTCATAATTGATCCTCGGTTACATATTTCGGCTGCGTCGAGCCGTCTCGCAGATTCGCATCCCGAAGGCATTTGCGTTCGAGCTCCTCGCGCACCGCATCCCACGTGCTGAAAGATAGGCAGCCAGAATAATCGTGTCAGAACAGGCCTGTTCAAGCACAAAAATAAATTCAGGGTTTTCTAGAGGACAATTAACCCCTGCAACAATTCAAAAAAAAAACATGCCAGAGGTGTGACATCATGCTTAAACCTCCAAGAAAAAAAAGTCGGAAAATTGAACTTCTAGATGGATGTTTCTCGGAAACTTTAGTCACCCTTGTCTGAAGGGTCCGGCTTCAGACATCTGGTGCGATTGCAGCTCGCGTTTACCTTTGGCCTTTCTGCCGGTTTCATAACAGAGAACCACAGCTTTTGTCCTGGAGAAAGTCGGTCTCATTATTCACACATCCAAACAAAGAGAAATCAAACCATCACAAAAGATGGTTTTTTCTTCTCTGGTGTGCGTTCAATATTGCCAGATAATTGTTTGGGACATTCCTCTGGCTCTCAAGTTTTAACTCGAGGTCACTCCTCCGAAAAACAGATTCCATGCTGTCATTAAACATTCAGCTCGAGTTGTTCTCCAAACTTCCTCCTGCTGTCAAGCCCCAGTACAGTTCAACAAAGCAAAGGCAGACGGAGGCAAGCTTCAGCCTGTCCCTGCTCCATCATTACCGTGCTCGCCGAACTTACTCTTTAGGTTTTTATGCTGCTTCCTTTTTTTAATGAGCTGCTTGGTGCTTGATTCGCATGACTTCACCTTTCTGCACTGTAATATTCTCGACGATGTGAGAACTGGGTCACGGCTCTCAAACACCTTTCCTTCAATACCGAATCTAATTCTGGTCCTCACAGACACATTTATTTTGAAATTGGGTAAAAGCATGCTTAATTTAGCTACTATGCATGCTACCGTGGAAAACTGATGATATGCTAATATGAGACTAGAGTAAGGTTAGATGCATCTGGGTAAACGTATAATACATGCATTTCTTGCTTTGCGTAGAAATAAGTCTATTTGAGTAAAACAATACAACAGTCTAAAAGTATGAGTCCCCATGCATATAAACCTCTAAATAAAATAAATATTTTATATATATTGAAAAATGCTCTTATGCTCACTAAGGCTTAAATACAATTCAAATAGCTGTTTTATATGTGAATATGTTTTAAAATGTCATTTATTTCTCTGATCAAAGCTGAATTTCATGAAGTCTTCAGTGTCACATGATCTTCAGAAATCATTCTAATATGCTGATTTGCTGCTCAAGAAACATTTCTGATTATTATCAATGTTGAAAACAGTTGAGCTGCTTCATTTTTTTTTTTTTTGTGGAAACCGTGATATTTTGTTTATTCAGGATACTTTAATGAATAGAAAGTTCAAAAGAACAGCATTTATTTGAAATAAATCGTTTGCATCGTTATAAATGTCTTTACTGTCACTTTTGATCAATTTAATGCATCCTTGCTGAAAAGTATTTACTTTTTTTTTTTTTTACATTTTAGTAGACTGACTTTTTTTTGCTTACATGCTTTTTGTTGCATCTCAAAACTTTCTATTCAAATTCTAAATCATATGGTTTCCCTGATCATATAAACTGTAACTAAACATTTTACAGTAAATGAGAAAACAATGCACATTTCAGACTGTTTGACCCTGCTCTCTATCAGGTATTTTCCCATTAGTCACACAAGTCGCCTGGACCACCCAGTGGACAGATGTTTTGTAACATCAGGCAGGATATTTTGATTGTCTTGTAAGCTTCATCAACTTGGATTTGCCAACATAGTTCTTGAGTATACTAGACTCTGAGTCATGCAATTAGACTAAACCAAGCTCAGTCTCGCTGCATCTCAGAAAGAGACACAATTCCCTCTTTATCTGCTCGATGGGCTTCTGAAGGGCTTGACTCATCTGACTTTAATCTTTCAAAAGAGAAACAGATTTACAAGATTGGGGAAAGCATCAGATTTAACCTGATGAAACTCCAGGTGCGCTCTAGGGACATCTAGAGGTCAAGATGAGCAGCACAACATACAACTGATGATGATGAGATAGAAATTTGACGGGAAAATAACATGAAAAGTAACACTCTGTCCTTGTTTAAAAACCTTTTAAAAAATGTGAATTTTTCCAAGTCTTCAGCAGGGATTCAATGCTTGTACTTGACCATATCTGTGCAAGCTCTCAACAGAAACTTCATTAAAACACCATAAAATAAATCTATATATAGATCTATGAATTATCAGGATTAAAATAACATTAAATAAGTTATAGATCAGAGTTTGGTGGATATTTAATATATACACTATCGTTCAAAAGTTTGTTTTTGTTTTTGAAAGAAGTCTCTTCTGTTCATTAAGGCTGCATTTACTTGATTAAAAATACAGTAAAAATAGCAATATTGTGAAATATTATTACAATTTAACATACTGTATTTCTATTTTAATATACTTTAAAATGTAATTTATTTTTGTGATCAAAGCTGAATTTTCATTTAACCTGATGAAACTCCAGGTGCGCTCTAGGGACATCTAGAGGTCAAGATGAGCAGCACAACATACAACTGATGATGATGAGATAGAAATTTGACGGGAAAATAACATGAAAAGTAACACTCTGTCCTTGTTTAAAAACCTTTTAAAAAAATGTGAATTTTTCCAAGTCTTCAGCAGGGATTCAATGCTTGTACTTGACCATATCTGTGCAAGCTCTCAACAGAAACTTCATTAAAACACCATAAAATAAATCTATATATAGATCTATGAATTATCAGGATTAAAATAACATTAAATAAGTTATAGATCAGAGTTTGGTGGATATTTAATATATACACTATCGTTCAAAAGTTTGTTTTTGTTTTTGAAAGAAGTCTCTTCTGTTCATTAAGGCTGCATTTACTTGATTAAAAATACAGTAAAAATAGCAATATTGTGAAATATTATTACAATTTAACATACTGTATTTCTATTTTAATATACTTTAAAATGTAATTTATTTTTGTGATCAAAGCTGAATTTTCAGCATCATTACGCCAGTCTTCAATGTTACATCATTCAGAAATCATTCTAATATGCTGGTTTATTAATTTGTTTTTTTTTTAATTTTCAGGAACCTGCGATACTTTTTTTCAGGATTCTTTGATGAATAAGACGTTTAAAAGAACAGTGTTCAAAATAGAGATCCTTTTCTGGGGGATCTTTTTCTTTACAATCAATTTTTAATGATTTAACTTCCTTGCTGAATAAAAGTATATTTTTTTATTATAATAATAATAATAATAATAAATGTATTAACAAATATCTAAAACAATATTAAATAAATACTAAAGTCATTTAAACATATAAAATAAATATATAATATATAAAAACAAGTATTTCACAAATAATTACAAAGAAAAAAACATTCAATTGCAAGTAACGCTT